CCCATTGTCGCTTCTGATGTTGCGAACGACCTTCTTCAGCTGTACTTCAATCTGCTTGATGAACACTTTTAGCTTGTGAGTCGCTTCAGATTTAAGCTTCAGAAAGAACACCCATGTAAAACGTGAAAAGTCATCAACAATAACAAGAATATACTTGCTACCACCAATGCTTTCGATAGAAGATGGACCACATAAATCAATATGAAGTAATTCTAGTGGTTCAACAACTTTAGTGTTTATTATAGATGGATGACTTTGACGACTCTGCTTCCCCATTTCACATGCAGCACAGATGATCTCTATCATACTTGAGCAATGGAAGACCTCTAACGTGACCTCCAGTAACAAGTTTGTTGATATCTTTGAAGTTGAGATGAGAGAGTCTTCGGTGCCATAGCCAGCTTTCGTCAGATTGTGCTTTGGATAACAAGCAGATTGTTGGGTTACCTTTGATGGGTTTGAGATTTAAAGGAAACATTTCGCCTTTACGCTCCAACTTGAGAATAACTCTTTTCGTCTTCTTCTCAATTATCTCAGAACCCTCATCGTCGAATGAGACTTGAAGACCGGTACCTCCAACAAGCTGAGATACACTTATGAGGTTATGTTGCAATCCTTCCATATATGCAACCTTCCTTATTGTGAAATCACCATTTGTAATCATTCCATAGCCTTTTATGGTGCCGAAGGAGTTGTTCCCAAATTTGACATTTCCACCATTTGAAAGAGATCTGAATTCCCTTAGCTCTTCCTTCCATCCTGTCATGTGACCCGAGCAGCCACTATCAATGTACCCTTCTTCGTCAAACTGCTCGTCACTGATAACCTGCAAAAATTAAACAGATTTAGGAACCCAGAGCTTCTTGGGTCCACGTGAGCTTTTTACAGGAACAAGAATAGTAAGAGAGATGTCAACTAAATATGTTCTTTTTATTAGTGTTGTTTCATCTTTCCTTTTGATGGTGAAAACTTTGATTTTATTTGGATTTGATGCTTTTGGTATTGATTCTGGTTCAACATCTGAAACCTTCTGTTTTCCTTTTTGTTCAGCTGATGACTGAGATTTTTGAGAAGGAACAGAGTGGAATTTAGGACAAGAAGAGACAGAAGATTTTGAAGAGTTAGAAGAGTTAGAATGAGATAACTCAGATCGGTATGACTTCTTGGTTGAAGATTCTAGGTGACTCTTTTTCTTTTGATTAACAGTAGGACCAACCCTAGAGTTTTGATCTCTTTTAATTTCCGAACGAAACCTGTGCTTTCGGTTGAAATCATTTTCTAAACCGAACCTATGCTTTCGGTTGTTGTTATGCTCTGAGCCGAACCTCTGCTTTCGGTTGTCATTGTGCTCTGAACCGAACCTCTGCTTTCGGTTGTTGTTTTGCTCAGAACCGAGCCTCTGCTTTCGGTTGTCATTGTGCTCTGAACCGAACCTCTGCTTTCGGTTGTCGTTTTGCTAAGAACCGAGCCTCTGCTTTCGGTTGTCATTGTGCTCTGAACCGAACCTCTGCTTTCGGTTGTCGTTTTGCTCAGAACCGAGCCTCTACTTTTGGTTGTCGTTTTGCTCAGAACCGAGCCTATGCTTTCGGTTGTTATTGCTCTCTGTCGATCCAATAGGATTTTTCTCTGGTTTTAAATTCCTGTCTTGATGTGAGAAATAGGCATTTTGCGATTGCCAAAATTGTTTTCTTTCTGAGAGATTCTTCCTGTATCTCTGATTCCTTTCTCGTTTTTGATTTCTCATCTGCTTTGGTTGATGATGGATGTTAGCTTTATGTTTTTAGTTTTCGTTGGCTGATCCACTCTGAAGTGATGTAGTTTCACTTGGGGATGTGACTTCTTTTGCAGGAATTTCTTTCTCTTAAGGGACATCTTTTGTTCCACTGGTACTTGCCACGTTGAAGCTATCAGGTTTATTCAAAGGTTCTGGTATGTATCTGCCTTTGCTTTTCCATGAAGTCCTTTCAGACAAACCTACCGTTTCATCAGCATTGTCAATGGGAGCTGACTAGAAGAACTCGTCACAGCCATCAGCATTGTCTTCGTTCACAATAGCTGTGAGTTCAGCAGTCTGATGTTCGGTTACACCTGTGACTTTGTACACCTGATTTGGAGTGGTTCTAACTTTTTGGTATACAACTGCCTTCTCTACAAGAATCGGGGACTTTTGTTGGGACAACCGAGCGAACTCCACAGAATTTTCTGAAATGAGATTTTTGTGGTTCTCGGGTTCATTCTTGACAAATTCTGAACAATCAACTGTGTCCTCTACAGAAATTTCACTCATATTATCATCCTCATTAAGCTCAGATGCATTTTCAACATCAATTTTATTTTCTGAGCTTAAGTTGACATTCAATGAGTCAAATTTTGTATGGTTTCGGTTCTTAGCTTCAGTTTATCATTTTCATCCAAAAGGTTTTTGAGCATGTTCTTGTGGTCCTTGGATTTTATGAAAGATTCTATTTTGTCCAGTCCATACATATATGTTGGATTAACATCCTCAGACGAAATAATACTCTCACAATTATATGCTTCAGCATCAATTTCATCTTCCTTAAACTCAATAAGGGGTAAAATCACGCGATGAATCTTTTGCCCTATTTCACAATTCAAATGAAGCTGAGTAATATTTGTATAAAGACGTTTGGCAATCAAACAAAAAACATTTCGCTGTTTCAAAAGCTTTAAATTATCTCTTTGCAAATAAATGTTTTCATCTTTTATTTTGATTAACTCCGACTCCTTCAGTTCGATCCACATCCGCCGTTCCTCACTCTTCAAAGACACCCTACTTAATTGGTCAGTTAGGTTAGAATTGGTGACCCGAGTTTGAGTTAAACTACTATCTAGATGAGAGATTCTTGAATTAACACTATTTAATTCCTTTTCATATGAGCATTGTGGGACTTTAAATGAGACAAAAACTGATTGTACCTTCTTGATCAGTTCATCAAGTTCGTTGAACTGCACGCTGAGTGGTTTGGCAGTAAAGCACAGATTTTGTTGTTCCTTTGTATCATCATTCCCACCATCAGTGTTGTATCCCCTCATCTGAGATACGTCGGACACCATCAAGCATCTTCCTCCACTGCTCTCTTCTTTCGCTACATAAGCCTTTCCATGTGAAGGCTTCCTCACTTCATCATCTTCGGAGTCGGTTGACCAGACCTCCACGCCACCGAACTCATCATCAGCTACCGAACCCTGCACAATTAAAGCATTCATAGGAGGGTTAGCAGCAGATTTCTTCTTCCTTAATTCATCAAGCTTTTTCAGCAACGCGGCTTCTTCATCATTTTCCTCATCCTTTTCTGCCATCTTTTTTAGGACGCAATCTTTTGCATAGTGGTTCTTTCCTCCACAATAATAGCAGCTTACTCCAGAATCTCCTTCAGCCTTCGGTTCCTTCTTTGACTCTTCAGCTTTCGGTTCATCTTTGACCTTTTCAGAGCTATAACTCCCTTGCCAGTTTCGGTTCCTGTTAGTGGGGAATTTCTTCTTGATGAATCTCTTGGGGTTTGACACCATCATAGCATAGTCCTCAGACGTGAGATCATAATCATCCAAGTTGAGATCTTCGTCCTCTATCACCGCTTTGCTTTTCGACAGGAGGGCCAACGAACCTAGACTTGAAACCACGGTTTTCTCCTGTAATACGATCTTTTCTTGAGATTTTAGGATGCCCACCAGTTTCGCCAAAGAATAGGATTTGAATTGTGCGCTTTAACTGTGGACACGATTGCTCTCCACTCAGATCTGAGTCCGTTCAAAAACATAACCTTCTGTTCAATAAGCTTCCTTTCGATGTCATGTTTGATCATCTTGCTAAGAAGTTGATTGAAGCGATCGAACGTTTGAGTTACCGTTTCTTCTGTTCCTTGCTTGAACTCACCAAACTCAGACAAGAGTAAGGTTTGAATGGAGTGTTCAAGATCTTCGTCTGTAGAGTACAGTTCACGTAGCCTGTCCCATATCTCTTTTGCAGTCGTGCATGAACTTACCAGCCTAAAAGTATCGGATTGAAGAGCAAATCTGATCAATCTTAACGCTTTGATATTGCACTGAAATTTAACTTTTTCGTCTTGCGCTACATCTTTAACATCTTTCAGAAGATCGTTATACTCCTTTTGAGTTTTAATAATCCTTGAAGTTGCTGAATGAGAAAAAGGTCCAGAGATGATTGCTTCCCAGATGAGGTATCCATTATCCTCAGATCCTATGACATAATCTTCAAAGTGATTCGCCCAGACTTCATAATCATGGGTGTACAGGATGGGAATCTTCGTTGTTGATCCAATGCTGTTTGAAATATTGATGGGATTGGATTGCGACTCGTCCATAATTGATCGAATAACCTGTTCAAAGATCAGACTTGTAATATATCAAATTAGGGCAAAAATAATAAATATCGAGATACGTCAATTATGAGATGACGGCTCAATAAATATCAATGAATGCGGAATAACCCTAATCGAAGCTTTTGCACAGAAAAGAAGTGTATCGATTACACAGCCTCCTGCTCTGATACCAATTGATAAGTTTAAAAAACAAACTTGAAGATCGATTAGATCTATGAAACAGGTAGAGAAATAACCAGATAAACAATAAGAACAAGCAAATGGATCAAAAGGTGTCGAATGATTAATAAACAATCCTCAGAAGAGCTCGATAAAGAACATCAACTGTAGAGGATTTTAGGGTTTACAATAATCAAAGAGAATGACGACAGCTACCCTATACGCATACATGCATGCATATATTTATATTAAAACCCTAACAGTTTATCTAAGAAAAAGGAGGCTAATCTAGATAAACATGGATTGACAAGCCCAATCCGAATGTAAAACAAAAGGGCCCAAGACGCAACACATTAATCTTCAACAGACCATGATTGGGAATTGTTTGATCGTCTTTCTCTGAGGAAGAGGCAAAATAGAATCAACTTGAAATCGAGACCACTATTCGAAATCTTAATGAAACACTGGATTTGTTATCTCATGTCTGCTTTTTGTGAAAAAATACCAATTGAAGTGGAGGGTTTTTTCAAACAACAAGGGGCTGGGTCAACTATTAAATCAAATGATGTTGAGCATGTTTCCTATCTCTTTTCGAGAAACAAGTCGGCTATTTCCTTGCAAAATTATGATCAATTTCATATGTGGCAATTCCGCCAAGATCTCTTTGTTAGTTGGGGGAAGAATCCGCCCGAATCGGATCTTTTGAGGAACGTATCGAGAGAGAATTTGATTTGGTTAGACAATGTGTGGTTGGTAAACAAGGATCGGTTTTTTCGTAAGGTACGGAATGTATCGTCAAATATTCAATATGATTCCACAAGATCTAGTTTCATTCAAGTAAGGGATTCTAGCCAATTGAAAGGATCTACTGATATACCCAGAGATCATTTTGATTCCCTTAGTAATGAGGATTCAGAATATCACACATTGATCAATCAAAGAGAGATTCAACAACTAAAAGAAAGATCAATTCTTTGGGATCCTTCCTTTCTTCAAACGGAAGGAACAGAGATAGAATCAAACCGATTCCTGAAATGCCTTTCTAGATATTCCTCATTGTCCTGGCTATTCACGGAACGTGAGAAGCAGATGATTAATCATCTGCTTCCAGAAGAAATCGAAGAATTTCTTGGTTCTACTTTAAAAAATACCGCCTCAATTCATCCTATTTCATCAGATTCGGGATGTGATATGGTTCCGAAGGATGAACCGGATATGGACAGTTCCAACAAGATTTCATTCTTGAACAAAAATCCATTTTTTGATTTATTACATCTATTCCATGACCGAAACAGGGGAGGATACACGTTAAACCATGATTTTGAATCAGAAGAGAGATTTCATCTTGAATTGAGGTGAGTGGAATTTTCGAATAGTAGCCAGGGGCTTCATCCAGTCTTTAGTTGTGCGATGCGAGTTTCCTTCCAGTAGGAACGGGTCTACGGCCACAATGCCGACCCGTTTAGATGATAGTAGTTTCGTACTTGGGTCTGATGTCGGGGTAGTCCCGAGAAGTAGTTTGTATGCTTGATGTCTTTGTGATTCATGCATGTATATGTGATTATGTTAAATGTGACGATCATGTTTATGATATATTCAGTTTATTCCGGACTTCAGCCTGATGCAGCGTGCAAGGCCCTAGTTATTCTGGACTTCGGTCTAATGAAGTGGGCGAGGTCCTAGTTATTCCAGACTTCGGTCCGATGCAGCGGGTAAGGCCCTAGTTATTCCAGACTTCGGACCGATGCAGTGGGCGAGGACCCAGTTTGTCCGGACTTCGGTCCGATGCAGCGGGCAAGGCCCTAGTTATTCCGGACTTCGGTCCGATGCAGCGGGCAAGGCCCTAGTTATTCCGAACTTCGGTCCGATGCAGTGGGCGATGTAACATCCGGATTTTACCAGGTATCTTGTAAATCTAATTTTGTTGTTTTGTGAGGGGGGACTCGGCGAGTTGGAGCTCAGACTCGCCGAGTAGGGACGCGGGTTTGGACAATGGAGCGTGCCTGGACTCGGCGAGTCCAGGATATGGACTCGGCGATTCTGCGCTGGGTAATGAAACCCTAAATCTCCGGGTTTGAGGCCTATTTAAAGGGCCTTATGGCCGTCATTTGTGCTCACCCAACCCTCAGTGAGTGTCCCTAGAGTTCTTGAGCGATTTGTGAAGAGAAGAGAGCCATTCTTGATCTTGTGTGTGTTGTTTAGCAAGAAGAAGGAAACCTTAGGCAAGAGGAAGCAAAGGAGGTTGCTATTTCGTGGATTTGGAGCTTAGATCATCACTCTAGAGGTATTATCTCGGACCATTTTCTATTTAATGAAGCATGATGCAATTTAGGGCTTGTGATGGTCATTTATGGGATGATTTGATGCCCATTGGTTCCCTCTTTGAGTTGAGGCTATGGATCTGGATCCATAGAGGTCCAGAGAGCCTCACCCATCAAGCTCTATGAGTGGCAATAGAGTCTTTGACCTTGTGTTGTAATATTTGAGTCATAAACATCATATATAGTCATATAGAGGTTGTATGTGCATCAAGATTGTAACTTTACGTGCTAAATGAGCTTGGAGGGACTGGATCTATGGATTAATGAACTGGATCTGACCTTTAGAGCAAGATTGAGTCAGTGCATGGCATGGACTCGCCGAGTCCGAAGAACAGACTCGGCGAGTAGCATGAATGTTGCCCGACCACTCTATGAGTGGTCTCGCCGAGTTGGGAAAGGTGAACTCAGTGAGTCAAGGGGGAGTCAGAATGGACAGGTGGATCGAGTCAAACTGGACTCGCCAAGTTGTTCTTCAGACTCGGCGAGTTGAGTCGTGGTGGCCCCACAACTCGTGCCAGGTGGAACTCGTCGAGTTGAGGGAAATGCTCGACGTGTCAGGGGAGGGTTCCAGGGAAATTGGTGCATGCGCTCAGACTCGCCGAGTCGCTATAGTGCACTCGCCGAGTCCGGTCAAAGTTGACCGTTGACCGTTGACCATCGTTGACCTAGATTGACTTGTTATAGTGTGGTCAACCCTAGTTGGGAAAGTGTTAATTAGAGGTGTATTGTGCTATAGGGGGGACGACAGGTCGACAGGTCGAGTGATTAGCGATTTCAGGTTTACGATTTACCGAGACACGCAAGGTGAGTCTTCTCACTATACTTTACCTTGAGTAGGTAATCAGAGTTATGTGATAGAGTATTTGTATGCTATGTATGTTATGCACTGCATTACTTCTATGTGATTGATGCTGTGCATGTTTACAGAGTTAGAACCGGAAGGTTCACAGAGTTAGAACCTGAGGGTTCACAGAGTTTGGGTGCACGGACCCACAGAGTTATAGCCTCGAGTGGCTAATATGTGTTATATGTAGTATTTTGGGGAACTCACTAAGCCTTGTGCTTACAGTGTTGATGTTATTGTTTCAGGTACTAGTGACGACCGCGAGAAGGCGTCGGCTTGATCCGTACACACACATATTCGGAGCTTGATATCATGATCTTGGGATTTTGTATTGTCTTGTTTGGATAATTAAAATGGTTGTTTTATGAACATCAATGGAATTATGTTTTATATAAATTGAAAATTTTGTTTGAAAATTTTCGGTGTTACAAATTGGTATCAGAGCCTTGGTTTGAGGGATTCGGGTACACCTTCGGGGGTATTTGAAGTCAAACTGAGGAATTGAAGAGATGTTTTCAAAATAAAACCAAAATTTTCTAAGAGTAAAAGATTTTCCAGGGAGGAACGTGTGTACGATCAGCCAGCGCCCGAACGGTGAATTCCCAAAATACTTTATATTACGTGATAATTATTATTAATGTGATGTGTTTGCATGCTAGAGTATGCTAGGTATTGCTGATAGGACTAGAGTGGCCTGTTTTGTGATGCCTTAGCCTAGGAAAGGGTGAGCTGATATGAGGTGTTGAGAGTATCTAGGTAGCAGCTAGGACTTTGTGTGAGATCTGTTACAAAGTGATTTAAGAGTAGTAGAGTACTTGGGGATTGGGATCCGAAGAGGAAGATTTGGGGTGTGTACTGAGACGGTGCGGACAGTAGTATTGGGTCCGTACTACTGAAAGCACCGGTGCGGTACACAGTCCAAATAAGAATCTTGGGATGCCAAGAATCAAGGAGGGGTGGATTGTCGAATGTAAGAGTGTTCGAGTAAATTCTAATTATCGCATGTTGTATTTCAGAGGTTGATCATGGTGAGGACACGTCACATGCCGGAGGATGCCGGAACTAGCGATGAGGAGATTCGACAGATCATTCATGAGGAGGTGGCTGCGGTCATCAGAGCTGAGCTACCAGAGATGTTCAGGTCTATTAAGACCGCGTTGATTGAGACATTTGACGAGCGCTATGCCGCTCTTTCTGAGGCTGCGGTTGCAGCAGCTACCGCAGCGATTGCTGCGGCAAGGCCCCAGGGAGGTGATGCATCATTGTTTAGGGAGTTCAGCAACACCAAACCACCAGAGTTTGATGGTACGCAGGACCCGGTGGCAGCTATGAGGTGGATATCTGATATGGAGGGATGCTTCTTCACTTGCTCGTCCCCTGAGCATTTGAAGGTTCGGTTCGCGCTGAACCAGCTTCGCTTGGGAGCGAAGGACTGGTGGAAGTTTGTGACAGCGCATTTCACACCGACTGAGCTTTCGGCAGTGACCTGGGAAAGGTTCACTACCATGTTCCGAGATGAGTACGTTCCTCAGGTGGAGAGGGAGCGTCTGGCACAGGAGTTTCTGACCCTCAAGCAGGGTACCGAGTCAGTTACAACGATTACGAGGATGTTTCATGAGAGGGCGATGTTCTGCCCTGAGCACGTGTCCACTGAGCAGGCACGTATGAGCCGTTACCTTAGCATTCTGAGACGGGATATTCGGGAGTTCGCTGCGAACTCCTCGTATCGGACATTTGCCGAGCTTCAGGCAAATGCTCGGAAGAGGGAGATTGAGCTTGAGACTCAGGCCAGGGAGGAGGCGGAGTCTCTGGGGAGGGATTGGCGGCCGGCACAGTCCCAGCCGGCAGCCAAGCCCGCTGATCCCCAACCCGGGAGCCAGAAGGGCCGCACTTGTGGAAAGTGCGGCAAGGGTCAAGATGGAGTCTGTCGAGCGGGGTCTTGCTACAAATGTGGCAAGGAGGGGCATATGGCCAAGGACTGCCCCAAGGGGTTTACAGTGTGCTTCCACTGTAACCAAACCGGACACTGGAAGGCAGAGTGTCCGCTGCTGCGCAGAGCATCTCAGGGGTCTGCTCCCGCCGCCATCAGAGCTACTGCTGTGACAACTGTCAATTCAGGTCATTCTTGGACTCATGCATCTTTATAATAACCATTCATGCACAACATGCCATGACCTAGTAGTATAAATTAGGTCAAAAATCTTGCATAAACTAGGATCCAACTAAGGTCTAGGACTAATATACTTGATACTTACAATTCTAGTAAGTTGCTTAGCTACAATAGGAAATGCCAATACTATAATTAGAATAAGCTTCAAACTTTGTTATAATTGAAATAGGGTATAAAACTCTAAAAATAAATTAAAACACTCTAATTATACTTCAACATGTTGTTGAATACCAAACAATGTTCCAAAAACCCTAAAGAGCCAAAAATCCAAAGTTATAAAATATAAAGCTTAAAAACTTTATAAAATTTGGCTATAAACTTCCTAGTATCAAATTATATTAATCAAATTATGGATTATACCAATGAACTAGAAATATAAATTACAAGTATTAATCATAAATTATTTGTTGAAAACAAGATTTTTAAATAAATCAAATTGCTTAATAAACATTTTATAAAAATGAATGTTTTTATATAAAATATGGGAGGGAAGTTTATAAAGTTTAAAATTTAGGAGAGAGGAGGCCAAAAGGCATGCAAAAACCGGCCATCACCTCTCCCCATGCCCTCTCTCTTCCCCAAAACACAATCATCAAGCCTAAACCCTTACTCCACCTCTTCCACTTCACTCTCTCACTTCACTCTCTTCTTCCTTCTCTCTAAACTCACGAAAATCCTCTCAATCCTCTGCAAAATTTCCAGATTTTGAATCCCTTGAAGTGTTCTTACTTCTCTCAAGATCATAACCAAGGTAAACAACATCATCTTCTTCCATAGTTTGATGATTCTACTTCTTTTCCTTCTTAGTTTTCTCTTCTTTTAGGATTCTATGCCTTTCCATGGCTAGAAATCTTTATTCTCCCCTTGTGGTTTGTAGATTCTCACCATAACACAATGCATGTGTTTGAAATGGTGAAAATCCGGGATCAAACCCATGCAAGGAGTGAAAAGATGCACATATGATCATGTGACATCAAAACATAATATTTCATGTTCTTCTCCATTTCTTGTGTGTTCATGCATG